TGGACCTGTGTCCCTGCGCTGTGGAGCTGCTAGATCCAGGGAAGACTGATGTCAAGACACATGGAAATGTCCATGGAATGCTGGGCCTACAGATGCTGCAAGGAGTCAAAGACCTTCTTCCAGAGCCTGTGCGTTGAATTTGTACTTCTAGCCTTCTAAACTGTGAAAAAATAAATAAAACTCTGTTTGCTAAAGTCATCCACTTTTGATATTTTTGTTATAGCAGTACTAGATAGCTAAGACACCACCACATATAAGATTATTTTAGTTGTTCAACACTTGGCATAATCAATTGTTCTAATTATAAACATTGAATAAATATGCAGCAACCACATATTTATTTTGTTTTGTTATACTGTGATGGCTTGTGTGTTGCTATGATGCTGGCAGCTATACTATTGGTATTTTAAATACCAGCAGAGTCATCTGTGGTGGACATGTATCAGTGGATCAGACAGACTAAGACAGACTAGGAAGAAGGAAAGGCAGGCTACTTCTAAATGGTTAGCCACTGAAAACCTTTTGAGTAGCAGTAAGACATTTTCAGATATAGTGCCAGAAGATGAGCCCCTCAGGTTGAAAGGCACTCAAAAAACAACTGGAGAAGAGCTACCTCCTCAAAGTAGAGCTGACCATAAGAATATGAATGGAGCAAAGCATTCAAGACCTTCATTTGCTGTTGGAGAACAACTCAAAATGAGAAGAAATAGTTGCAAACATCCATTAATAAATGGAATATGGAATTATTAAGTATGAATCTAGGGCAACTGGAAGATGTAAAAAACAACATTGAATGTACAAAGTTCGTTGTCCTAGGCATTGATGAACTGAAATGGACTGGTATCAGCCATTTTGAATTCAGCAATCACATGGTTTACTATGCCAGGAACGTCAAATTGAAAAGAAATGGCATTACATTTATTATCAAAAAGAACATTTCTACATCTATCTTGAAGTACAATGCTGTCTGTGGTAGGCTAATATCTATATACCTACAAGCAAGACCAGTTAATAACATTATTATTCCAATTCACACACCAACCACTAAAGCCAGTGATGATGAAATTGAAGAATTCTACCAACTTCTTCAGGATGAAATTGATCAAAAATGCAATCAAGACATGTTAATAATTTCTGGTGATTGGAAAGCAAAAGTTGGAAACAAAAAGAATCAGTAGTTGGAAAACATGGCCTTGGTGATAGAAATGATGCTAGAAATCGCATGATAGAATTTTGCAAGTGGTTACGAATTGGGCTGTGAACTGCATGGTCAGCAGTTCGAAACTACCAGCTGTTCCATGGAAGAAAGATGAAGACATTTGACACAAGGCCCCTGGTGGAGTGGCCTCACTGGGGCACCAAGGTGTGGTTATTTTCAGGCGCTGCCTCACACCACACACTCTGGCCGTGGCTGCCCTCAATGAAGATGGCAGTGACCCATAAAGGCGCAGAATATGAGGGAGAACTGCAGCGTCCGGAATGGACAGGAAGGAGGTGGGCCAGCTCCAGCAGAGCCTGTCTAAGATCACACTGATGAGGTAGGGGCTCCCAGCAACACCCAATAGGTGGGACAGTACAATCTGGAAGGCCTCTGCTGTGGACAGCCATGCAGGAATCATCACACACACAATGGCCCAGTTCATGGACAGCAGTGTATCCCTAATAAAAAGGAACATATAAGTGGTCAGGATGCTGCCATAGGCACAGGGAAGGACAGGAAAAGGAACAGTGTGGAGCCCAGGACATCAGCAGCATAAAACAGTGGGCCTAACCAGAGGTTGGAGTGGCAGAGGCAAGCCCACACCCAAGACACTGGTCAACACAAAGATGAGGCTGTCAGAAGAGGAGCAAGCGTCTCCTCCAGGACCAGCCAGGAACACAGCAGGAATGCAGGAGCCCACAGAGCCAGAGAGCCTGTGACAAAGGCCATAGCAGTGAAGCCAAGGGATAACAGGGTAAAACTAAGACCTCAGAGCCCAGAGTCAGTCCCCAGCCACATCCTTCACTTGGATCCTGCAATGTAGCCCAGATCACTGCCCACAGGGTTGGCATCTGACTCCACTGGTCTCTCCTGGGATGAAGGATGATCCCAGTGTCACCAGGAAGCAGAATGCAGTGCACCAAATGTGAGATACTTCCGATTGTACCTGTCACCCAGGTAACCAAACACAGGTGCTAACACCTTATAACTGGAGATGAACACCGTATAGATGAGCCGGGAACTACTGTTTACGATGTCGAAGAACTGCTCGAAGTAAGGAAGGACGCCAGCCACGGTGAAGCGATCCATGTAGTTGAGATTAATGTAGCCCAGCATGGAAACTATGAGAGTCCAATGGCCCAAAAACAAGCCAGTGATGCGCAAGTCCCTCCTGGTCCCTGACCTCGGGATCCCCAGACTTCGGGACCCCCTTAGGCCCCGGAAACCCAGGGTGCCGGGCACTAACCCATCAGTCCATGTCATCCGCCAGGCTGAGGAAGGTCATGGTGTCAGAACCCGCCTTGGTCCCTGGGAGCTGCCGGCGCTCGGTTCTCACCAGTGATCCCACCCAGGTTAGGAGCGCACTACACTGCTGCTCAGTCCAGGCGCTGAGACCCACGGCTGTGTTGCCTTAGAGTTGGTCAGGTGATGCTGTCAGAGTTCTTCGTTTTGACGAAAGTCACCATACCTTTTTTTTTTTTTTTTGGTCACGCTTTCAGTGTTGTGCCTATGAAATCTTTGCCTAATGCAAGAGCATGAAGATTTTCTCTTGTTTATTTTTTCTCTAGAAATTTTATGGCGGTGGTTGTGTGCCACTGAGTCGGTTCCAACTCGTAGGGACCCTGCACAGGCTTTGTAGTCTATAAATCTTTACAGGAGCAGAAAGTCTCATCTTTCTCTGGAGGCTGGTAAATTGGAACTACTGACCTTGAGTTATCAGCCCAGCTCATAATCCACTATGCTACCAGGACTCCTTTGAATTTTTATAGTATTAGGCCTATATTCCATTTCGTGAGAATTTTTATATATAACATGAGATACAAATTAAAATTTTATTTTTGTATAAGGAAAACTGTAGAAAAAGTGATGCATTTGAGTTATGGTGTTACAGAAGAGTATTAAAATTAACATGAACTGCCAGAAGAACAAACAAATCTGTTTTGGAAGAAGCACAATCAGAATGCTCCTTAGAAGCCAACATGGCCAGACTTCGTCTCTCATACTTCAGACATATATCACAGGAGGTACTAGTCCCTGGAGAAAGACATCATGTCTGGTAAAGTGGAGGGACAGCGAGAAAGAGGGAGACCCCACAACTTGATGGATTGGCACAGTGACAGCAGCAGTTGTGAGGATGGCAGAGGACCAGGCAGTGTTTCATTCTGTAGTACACAGGGTCTCTATGAGTTGGAACGGACTCCACAGCGCTTAACAATAACATATGGTTATCCAATTGTTTTAGCACAATCTATTGAAAAGACTATTCTTTCTCTGTTTGATTGCTTTTACACTTTTTTAAAAAATGTTTTATTGTGAATTATGTGATAGTTTACATGGGAGAACATTAACTTTACATTCATCCTATTGTACATCGTTTCATTGGCATGATTACAATCCCCTCCATGCATCATTATACAACCAAAGGGTGTACCCCACAAGCCTGCCCCTCAGTCTGCTTTTACACTTTTGTCAAATATCAGTTGTTCATGTATATGTGGGTCTACTTTGTTTTACTGAGCTGCCAGTCTTAATGCCAGCACTACACTGTCTTATTGCTTTAAGTCTTGAAGTCAAGGAGAGTAAATCTTGTCCTTTTATCCCATCTGGGTTGGAAAAAGAGGTCTGATACATTTTAATTTCTGCTCTACCATTTAATACTGACATGATTAAGTCAGTTAAGTATGTTTATTACTTATTTACTTACTTGTTCCATTGTTAGTATCTTAGTTTTCTAGGGCTACCGTAACAAAGTACCACAACGCAGGTGACTTTAAAGAACAGAAATTTGTTGTCTCACAGTTCTGGAGGCTAGGAGTCCAAATTAGGGTACCAGCTGTGTTGGTTCCTGTTGAGAACTTTCAGAGAGGAGCTGTTTATGCTTCTCTTCTAATTTCTGGTGACTGCTGGTGGTCTTTGGTGTTCCTTTGTTGCTTAAAAGTGCATCTGTTTCCATCGTCACATGGCATCTGTTCTTTCCTCTGTGAATCTCTGTGTCTCTTCTAACCCTTATAAAACAGGACTCAGAAGGGATTAGTACTAGGCCCATCCTACTCCAGTAGAACTGGCTAACTGATAACAAATAAGGGCAAACTCACAGGCACAGGGGTTTGGATTTCAGCATATCTTTGGGAGGGGACATGATCCGATCCATTATAGTTAGGATTAAATATTATAGTGCTTGGGTTAAATGCTAATTATGAAGACTCTGTATTAGGGAGATGGCTCTGGAACAAAAAAGCACTGGAGCTACAGGGGGACAGATGGATTTAATGTGTTTATTTGAGACTTCCCTCTGACCTCCTCAGTGCAGAGACATGTGTCTGTTCTTTGAGCTTAGAAACTGAAGCTTTGCAGACAGCAGGACTGATCACATTGAACCAAAACAACAACAGCCAATGAAGGCAAAAAACCCAAAAAACTGGTCAGGATCCCTGAATCTAAAATTATCATTCCACTGTATCAACAATGTCTGTCTAAATTTTTGAAATTTTAATTTTAAAATTGAAAGGTTAAAAAAAAAACAACAACCTTATAAACTAGGTTACAGAACCTTTTGGATCCTCTTGACATGGATTTCTCCAATGCGTTCTCTCTTTTTTTTTTCCAGTCTTTGCAATTCTTATCCCTGCCAGTCTTCCAGTGTCCCTAGTTACAGGCCAACTTCAACTGAATGGGAGGAGCTACTTCCCAGAGACTGTTTCCAGCCCCACATCCCAGTGACCAATGGTTCTGCCTCCTGGGCACCAAAAAGAATCCTGGTCACTTTGTTTAGTATCACGTGAATGTTATGTCCAACAGGATGGCTGGTGGGCCGAAGAAATGTTTTTCTTGGATTGGTTTCTGTCTTATTTGTCTTAAAATGGTGAGTTTTCCATCCCAATTCACCTGCAACTATTTAGAAGGGGGAAAAATGCATTAATGATCTTTCTTTTTTGTTTTTTTGGGGGACTGGAAAGTAGGGAGATAGAAGTCAAAATACTTATGGACCATACCAAGTGTATATGTCTGTGCATTTGAAATTCAATGAAATGTCCTAGAGAAGTAAAACAAGGTCATCATTATATTTGAAGAACAAAGATTTCCAAGAAATCTGTCAGCGGTTCCTGACTTAGTTCAATAGGCAGATTCAGGGAGAAAAATGAAATAGTAATATGACCTGCCTCCAGTCTCTAAATTCTATTTAGGTTTCTGTTGCGATAGATTTTAGTGTTGGGAAATGTTTTGTGCAAATAAAATATTCTGTATGGATGGAAATCTGCTCATATTATACATAAAAGTTTTGTGATTAAATTGTTATTCCTCTAATTTATGTTTTATGTTTACCAAAATGTTTTCCTTTATAGTTCTAATTTTCTAAACTTTTCCTTTCAGGTTGCTTCAGCAAAAACAGGTAAACTATTCTGAAATGCCAGTTCTCTCCTCCATATTTAACTCTAATTTCCTCTATTATTTTATTGTTACTCTGCAACATAATGGCTGGAATAAAAAACAACCCAGTAGTCCTCAAATTGATTCCAATACATAGCAACCCAATAATGACTATTCTAAGCAAGAAGGGATCAAGTGTTTGAACACTTACTGTGTACTAATCACTTCGGTGCTAGGGGGATGATGGAAGCCCTGGTAGTTGTTAAGTTGTTGTTAAGTGCCGTCGAGTCGATTCTGACCCATAGTGACCCTGTATAGGGTTTCCAAGGAGTAGCTGCTGAGCTTGAACTGCTGACCTTGCAGTTCAAACAGCTTTGTAGTCTGGCGCATTAACCCACAGCGCCAAGTGGGCTAAACATTAGGTTGCTAATCACAAGGCTGGCCATTCAAACCCACTAGCTGCTCTGCTAGAGAAACACGAGGCTGTTTACTCCCGTAAAAATTTGTAGTCTTGGAAACCCTAAAGAGCCATTCTAGTCTGTCCCATAGGGTTGCTGTGAGTCAGAATTGAGTTGATTACAGTGGGTTTTGGGAGATGATAACTGGAAAGAGCCATAAATAGATCAAATCTAAAAGACATGTCCTAGCAAGGTATCTCCATTGAATACTGTAATGTATAGAGTCACATTGTTGTTATTGTTGTTAACAACAACAACCAAAGTGCTATCAAGTTGGTTCTGATTTATAGTGACCCTGCATAGGGTTTCTGAGGCTTTAAATCTTTGTGGGAGTAGAAAACCTCATCTTTCTCCCATGGAGTGTCTGATGGATTTGAACCTTGTAATTTGCAGTCATGTCTACAATATTGCAATGACTATCATTCCAGTCAAAGAAGCAAAATCTTAGTCATAAAGAGTGAAGAGTCTGATTTACATAACTTAAAAAAATTGTCTTCAGAGGAATTAAAGGAGAAAACTAGAAAGGATGCTTTTGACTAAATTGTCAAGATACCCTACTTTAATCAAAAAGGACTCTATATTTCAAAATATTTACTCTGGTAAGGTTATGTGTATAGTCATCCATCTTTTATGTTTGTTTTTGTTTTTTTTAAAAAAAAAAACTATTTGCAATGAACAAGTCATCAATCTTGCCAAATTCTATCCTGGTATCTACAGCAATGTTTCTATCACCAAGGCTGTATTTTCCAGTATAAAAGTGTAATACTGATCCTTTCTCTTTGTTTCCAACCATTGCATTCCATTCACCAGTATTTATTAATACATCTCAATTACAACAGTCCTAAAATGTAGATATTAGTAATATTACTTGTTTTTCAAGGGAGCATACTAGATTAGAAGAGGTCAAATAACTTGTGCATACATGCACAGGCTAGTGTGGCTTTCAATTTCCCAGGCAGTCTCATTCCAATGAGCAGGACTGGTTAATATAGGAAACAAGATGAACTGGAGGAACAAAAGGAGTTGAGAGACATCACATGGCCAGAGGAAAGGAGACATATCATACAAGAACAATAATTGGGGAGCAGAGAGGAATGTGTGTGGGGGTGAGATAAAAGTGGGAGCCCCTGCTTGAGCTTTATATCCTGCAGTGGGGAGAGGACACATGCCCTACCTACAAATTCAGCTTCTGCTGGCAAATGGTTAAGATTAGCAGGTCTGCAACTGCTCCCTAGCATAAAGACCATCTAAATTTTCTTTCAGTAGCAAAGGAGACAGGCTGGGTGATGTTCAAGGAATGTCTGGTCAGTGCACAGTGGAGACTTTGTTCGTTTTTGCAGAATGATTATTTCTGAGATGGTGCCAAAGTCAACTATCTGGGCTATTGGTACAGAAAGAGCTTGTCTGTAATATTCACGTGGGGATTTGGCAGGTGGGGGCCAGATGGGAGTAGGCATTTGTTATTTGGGACTCACACATTTGGTCTGTATTTACTTTTTCTCTTTGCCCTAGAGTTTTGTTTATTCGTTTTGCCCTTTAGTTTTGAAATTTGCATATAGCAATTCTACCCACCAATTTCCAATGCAAAAAAACAAATGTCAATTTCAAGTTGAAAACTTACCTATTTTGGTTTGAGCTTTTCCTCCACTTGGATCTCTTAGAACCAGGATTTTTATAAAGCAGTACATCTGATTACCGTGTGTCTTCATGATCTAGTTCGTACTGCTAAAATAGAAATACTACAAAGCAGATGGCTTTAACACACAGACATGTATTCTATCAGTTAAGAAGGCAAGAAGTTTGAATTCATGGCTCCAGCTCCTGGGAAAGGTTTTCTGTCTGTGTTAGTTAACAGCTCTGGAGGATGGTCCTTGTCTCCTTTCAGTATCTACAGATCTCTCTGTATCTAGGTATCAATCTTACCAAGTCTAGGAGTTCCTCAGTGGAGGAACCCCCAGTCCAAAGCAAGCACTTACTTAGTCCTGGCTTTTCTTGCTTGGTGTTCTCTGCTCTCTTCTCTTTCCTTTCATCTCTTGCATAATAAAAGGTGTTACAGACCACTCCTCAGGGAACCTCCTCTTACATTGGAACAGATCAGGGATATAACAGGAGTTAGAGTGCTCAATCCCACCCTTAATCTTTTTACTGGTTTGTCACATCAGATCACATGATGAAGGGGCATCACCACATAACTGCCACTTTACATTCCCCTAGAAAATGCTGACCAGGCCAGGTGAGAAGGGACAATGGTGTCTCATTTTATGCTGTTTGTTTTAGGTCTTTCTGTTTGTTTTATGGTTGAAATACTCCTCACTTATCAACAATCTCATGATCTGACATTCCACATTTATAGCAATAGTATAACATCTAATTTCTGACTGTTCTGCACATTAACAATGTACATCTGGCAGCAAGATGTGAGGCGAGAGGAACGCTGTCTGTGATGGTTAAGGTTATGTGTCAGGTTGGCTAGCTCATGATTCTCAGGAGTTTGGCAATTATGTAATGATGTAATTTGCCAGGTATATAATGATATGGAGTCCTGGTGTGGTGCTGTGGGTTAACACACTGGACTGCAAAGTCAGCTCTAGCCTTCTGTGGCTATGTCCTTGTCCATGGGCTCAAGTGTCCCCAAGTCTCACCACACTTTGGACCAACCAGCCCTTCCTCTTCTCTCTCTCATCTCCAAGTCAAAGGGAATCAATGGACTGGGGTTGAACTCAGCCCATTTCTTCATTGCTGCCTTTCCCCCTCTTCCACTCACCAGTAGACCAATGTGGTCGCCAGCAAGCTTACATGCTTGTTTGTGTGTTCCCTTTGAGTTTCAGTCTCAGAGGGGAGTTTGTTCTGTAGGATCTTGATTGCTTGCCTTGATGGCTTCCTGGTGAACGAACAGCTTGTTTATTCTTGTAGTAGCCAGTTAAGCTGACATTCTGTTTTGAGTTTTTCCTGATGATTTTTTTATGAAGATTTATCATTTGTCATTCTAGCTGTTCCAGGCTGGTCTGCTTGTCCTTGTTAGTGGGAATGTCCCACCTAAGAAAGTTCTGGGTGGGATTCAGGAATCCACCTAAGGTCCTATACACTGCAAAGGCTCAGCAAGAGGCCTATTTCACTGGGCAAGTTGTAGAACCCCTTTTAGGTATTCCAATCAGTTATAGGTTGAAGATGTGCTTACAAGTTTTCTGTAATCATATTTCCCAACATTCCTTTCTATCCCACTTAATGTCTATTTTACAATAGTAGGCAAGAGAAACCAATATTCATAAGACAGTCAAGCATTTTAGTATTCTTTCCCCTCTTCAAACTATGCCTAGATCCCTGTATCACAGAGCAGCTATTGAGTTTGGACCACTGACTTTGCAGTTTAAACCAAACTTGCAGTCTAGTGCTTATACTATAATGTCACACCAGGACTCATAGGATTATACAATACTTGTCCTTTTGTGATTAACTTCCTTTATTCCACATGTTTTCAAGGTTCATGCATTTTGTAGCATGCATAAGGATTTCATTTTTCTTTATGAGGCAGGTGTTTACTTTTGTTTCTTAATTTGTTTTGTTTTTAACTTTTTATTGTGAGTTGAATTGAAGGTTTACAGAGTAGATCAGTTGTCCATTCAATAATTCATACACATTTGTTTCATATCATTGATTGGAATCCCTACAACATAACAATACTTATTTCACTTCGTCTTTTGTTTCCTGCTTCGGTTCCTCCTTCTTTCCTAACCCTTCAGAACTCTGTCCTTGGACAAATGTTGCCCTTTTTATCACAAATGATTGATTTTCTAAGATGTGCATACCTCTCTAGTATTATTGTTATGATTTCCCTTATTGATTTATTATTTGATGGAAAGCTGAGCCATGAGAAGGAGTTCATTTCCAGATCTGAAGGGTGACTAAGGACCATAGCTTTGGGACTTGCACCAGTCTAGCTGACCAGTAAGCCTGGTGGTTTTTTTGTTTTATGATTGAGTATTGTTTCACATTTTTCTCCCATTCTGTCCAGCACCTTCTAATGTAATGCCTTTCAGAGCAGTTCATAGCTGGGTACCATCTAGTTCTTCTGGTCTCAGAGTCATGGAGACTAATGTTTCCAGGATCCATTAGTCCACTGGACTAAATGTATCCATGTGTCTTCAATTTTCATCACTCTTTGTCAGTGGATGGCTTTAACAAACAGAAACGTTTGTTTGTTAAATCCAAATTCAGAGGACTGATGCTGGAGAAAGGTCCTTGTCTTCCTTCAGCATCTGTAGGCCCAGAATTCCTTGGAGAGCCTCATGTGTCTTGGTATCACTCTTTTGTTTAATTTCTTTTATTTCTCAAAAGAGGTTGACTCAAAATACAACCTAATCTTGTAGATTTAATCTGGTCTCATTAACATCATGTTATATTGTTACTATATTGTTATATGCCATTGTGTTGATTCTGACTCATAACTACCCTGTGCACAACATAACAAAACACTGCCTGGTCTTACAACATCATATTTCAGCCCATTGTTACAGCCACTGTGTCAATCCATCTTGTTGAGGGTCTTCATCTTTTTCACTGACCC